TCGAGCAATCACAATCACATTAATCAAATTTCGTATAATTCACTATCAAAGATTGACAATACCAGAAACGATCGCAGTCATTTCAAAATTCCAATAATTTTCGAACAGCGAAAAGAACCACAGATCACGATTAATAAAATTTCAATAATTCACCGAAATCAAAAATGCCTAAAATATTATCGAACCCTCGATCACTTCGAAATTTCGACAATTCCTCAACCAAACGCTCGAAAAAAAAAAACCCACAAATCTCATTCACCGCCTTACCTTATTTCTAACTAATATCCGCAATGTTAAAAACCTCGTTTTAAACCTCCCCTCCCCCTCGAGCGACACTCCCTCCTCCTCTTAAACGAGCAATTTATATTCAAAACGATCGAAAAAAAAACGGTCGAATCGCCGAGGTTAAACGATGGTTTTTATTCCATCGACGATACCAATCAATCCTCCAACCGATCCTCCTCCTCACCTCAGATCCATCCAAGATGGAGCGTGAACGGTAAATCGAGATCCATATCTCGAAACGCGGTTTACCCATTTCGTGAATTACGCGAGGTCCACTTGCAAAGCAAATTGCTTCGTTCGGAATGAACGATGTGTACCTCGACCCTCGAGCTGGGGGAGGATCTATAAGCTCTCCCTCCCCCTCCCGCCGTGGGCACAACGAAACGCACCGTTTCGAGGAGAGAGGGGGAGGGAATTTACCACGAGAAGAGAATTCGTGGCGACTGGGATCCAATTACAGAACTAATTATATCCCCGGGAAGGGTAAAAATAGCGCGTTATTATAGACCGAGGAATAGAAGGGGTAGAAAGTTGGTCTTCTAAAAGGAAAGGGGGAGGGGGAACGAAGAAAGGGGGGGATTTGTTCGAGATTCCGAGGTTGGACGACGGTTTCGTGAATGGAATTTTAATCCTTTGAGAGAGGGGGAATTTATCGAGACTTGTTTTTTCTTTTTTTTTTTTTTTTTTTTTCTGGAGAAAGGAAAAATTTGGAGGTGAATTTGGAGGTGGAGGATACTTGTAAATTAAAAAAGGGGAGTATTAGATTAGATTTTTTTTGGGAAGAGGAGAAAAATTTTGTATATTTTGATATTGTTTATTTTTAATTATTAATTATTTTTGGAAATTTCTTTCTTTTTTGAAGATAATATTTGCAGAATTTCGTATTTACAAATTCTCTTATTAATATTTCATTGGAAAAATTCGAAAATTCTTCTCTTCTTTTGTAAATAATAATGGCATTTCACATTTATTTGCTTATATATATTCCGACAACGAATCGAAGCTTTTATTAATTCTCTTAAAATGCAGCATTATTAATAAATTTAAATCGAATCTCTCGTTTTTCTTTCTTTAAATAATATTTCACGTTTGTCGATCAAAAATTTGAAGGGACAAGATAAATTCAATCTGAATTCTAAAAATGGAAAGCTATTGTTTTTACGATGTTATTGTTAATTTTTCTAGAAAAGAATTCTAAAAAGAAACGAAGGCCAATAAATCGATTCGATCGAACTGGTCGGACCGATTTGATAGGAGAAGTCGATTAAATTGCGAATAAAAAAAAAAAAAAAAAAAAAAAAAAGCAAGATTTGTCGATTTGTGGCCGTGCATTAGTGCACACTTGATTGACACTTTTAAGAATAATCCCATTCCATCGAATGTCCATTAAATGAACATTTCCATTTCGATTTACTTCATTTAATTTAAACGTTTCGAGCTAATCTTTCCTCTCTCTCTCTCTCTCTCTCTCTGCTTCCTTTTTTATTGATTAGAAAAATTTAATGTATCTATAAGATACTATTTTTACAATTGCTTAATGTAGTGTTCAATTTGAAAAATTAATCAACCAAGAGTAATCAAGAAAACTTGCTCTTTTAAAAACCACGAATCAATATCGAGATACTTAAAAATAATTATACATTTTTAATTATCCTTTTTAAAGAATATATATTCACTTTAACTCATTTCTATCGTCATTTAAAAATAAATAACCATTTTTCAGAAATATTTGTGCTTGACGCACAAAATATTTTCCACCCCTTTCCAAAAGGCTCGAATCGAGCGCGTTCTTTAACATGCTCTTTCGCGCCATTAAAACAATCAAGAAACGAGAGGGTTAATTCACCAAAATCCCGATATATTGGATCGCGGGCCACAATTATCCATGGCTTTCAATTAGCGAGCATTGTTTCGGACAAATCCATCGCCCAGAAGGGATTGATGCGGATAACGATAATCAGCCGGTCGAAATAGATTTACAGGAAACACAACGCGCATAGGGAGACAGGAGGAGGGGGTTTGAATTAGGGGATGGAAAGACGGGCGGAGCTTTCAAAGGGATAATCGTTCCGGCAGAGCCTCGAACCGGCCTTAATGTGATTGACTCGTTTTATCGCGCCGATCTTCCTCTCCGGGCGGAATTATCGCGGATATCCAGTTTACCGCTCTTTGCTAAATTAATTACGCGGCAAGATGCAGCCAACTCACCCCCTCCAATCCTTCATGTCAAACAGACGCTCTCAACTCTGGAATTTTGCTCTGTGAATTTCGAATTTATTTCTCCAACTTCCTCGTTTCGAAGGTTATATACGTCTGATGCTTATCCGTGATCAACAGTAATGATAATAATTTCAAAGAGTGAAATAAAGTGTCTTGGGATTCTTTGGTTTTGGAATTTTTTCCTTTTTTCTATGTCTAATGATGATGTAACGTCTCGATCGGTCATTCGATATATTTCACTTCTGCATCAAATATATTACTCGATTAAAATATTTATGAGATTATTCGAAGATTTCAAATTACCATTTCTATCCCAAAAGAGAATTTCTGCAATCGTATTTTCATGGTTGTCTTCAAATTGATACGATGTGTTTGGCCTCGAACGCGAAATTACCTTCGACTAATCCCCTGCCCTAGCTGTCGGTTTTCCGTGCCATTGTCTTCGCTCTCTTCGTTTCATCCCTATTTTCTACGCGGCGAGACGATTATTGGCCGGCCTCGACAAAGGATTCATTGATTTTCCTTTTGCGATTCTCTTTAATTTCCGCTCCTTTTTGACGCCGCGCCACGGAACCTCGAGCGAACCGCAAACACCGACGATGGAAAAGTCATCAAATTTTTCAAACTGTGTCTCTCTCGTCTTTCAACCATCGAAATGCGTACGTCGCATTGCTTCTCCGTGTCGAGATTGAATTTAAACTATGAAATTTCGTTTATACGTGGGGCGTGGAGAGAATTTAAAGATGAATTTTTTTTCCTCCCCCTCAATTATTATAAAATGAAAATATAATATAGAAGAAGAAATTCAATTGGTACGAAGATCCTGACTTTAAATGAATATTTGTACGCATATATAATACATATATAAATGCAAGTGTGTTAACGAGTCGAGTTATATACACGTGGATCAATTTTACTTCTTCTCATCGAAGGGTTTTATCGAGGGAGTGAAATCAAAATTTCAAAATTTTTAACGCGTTTCGAATTTTCGAACTCGATTTTATCTCGGGATATTTTTTTTTTTTTTTTTTTTTTACAATGGAATAATAGAGTATTAAAATCCTCTGATAAAACATTTTACGCGTTTAAAGTGATCCTCTATCCCGTGGCAAAGTTATATTTAAAAAAAAAAAAAAAAAAAAAAATTATAAAAACATCGAGAAACTTTAAAGGTTGATTTCACCCCTTCAAAGCGAAATATCCCGCTAAAAAAAAAATTGCTCCGTAATCCATTATGCTCTACATAACTCTGCGAAAGTGTGATTCAATAAAAAGCGTAATTTTCATATCATACCTCGTTTCTTACATAATAATAATTCAAGAACTCGTCCCAAGAAACTCTCATTAATCCCATAAAATCGACCCATAAATCGTTTCCAAATCATCGACTCGTCCGTTTCCGCGAAAATTCGAATTCCAACAATTTCAAGGGGCCAAAAGAGAGATCGGTCTCTGTTTGAACAACGAATTGCCGGTTTCCCTAAACAGAAAGAAAGAGAGAGAGAGAGAGAGAGAGAGAGAGAGAGAGAGAAGAGAGGCGCCAGATAGGAACGAGGTTAAAACTCGAGCCACGGGTTTTAAATTAAGCAATCGTTAAATCACCGACAGCATCCAGTGATGAACGTTTCCACGTTGTGGCCAACGCCTCAATTACGGCATCACGAAATGACGGATAATTTCAGTTATATCGGGCCCTGGTATCGTTCCAAAGATCACGTGTATTACGCCGAATTAAGAAGAATTACGCCGCGTGGATTGCGGCATTTCTTTCATCCCTCGAATGCAGATTTGTTCCTCGACAGAGGAGAAAACTTTCTTTATTTCTTTCTTTCTTTCTTTCTTTCTTCGAAAGAGATCGACGACTTACCTTCTTCTTTTCTTTTTTTCTTGCAGAGATGCTTTCAGATATGGTTCCAGATCCATTTGGTATCTAGTGATGGCAATTTGTACGTGAAAAATTGACGACAGTAGTTCTCCAAGTTCTTACCTTAAGATCTCGAGGAACGACCCAAGCTTCGATGAGTTTCGCATTCGATCTTTGGTAAATGGAGGGGAAGAAAGAAGCTCGATTTACGAACATAAAAAAACAGCTGAGCTGAGATGTACAATTTTGAGAATGCTATATAAATTTTAAACGAAAGATAAACCGCCTCAGCCTCTCTTACATCGCGATTTATAATTAACTTTATTACACGTCTCTCGACCAATCTCTAATACTCATTCATCGTCTGATCAGAGAAAACTCTCTCAACCTTTCGATACATCAACTGTTCCTCATCACGCGACCTAATTTCCCTTCTCGAAGAAAAACCAACGTGGAGAATAAATTCCCACGAGAACCTTCCCTCGTCGAACCGTAATGATCACCACTGATGTGACATACATATACATACATACATACATACATACACAGGACAGGTGGAGAAAGTGGAGAGAGAGAGAGAGATAGAGAGCGAGAGAGGATGAGAGCAGAGACGCGCTCTGGAACCGCTTACCTCTTTGATCTTCTCGCGGCGCTGATTAGTCACGTCATCCAGGGGTGGATTAGGCGGTTTAATGACGTAGGGCCCGGGGACGGGGAGCGGCGGGGGTCCGACCGCGGATGGCTCCGACTGTCTCTGCCTCGAGTCCACCCATCGATCCTTATCTTCGAGGGGTTTCGCCTCGTCCTGGCCCGGGATCACGTTACTCTGCACCCATGCGGGGTTCGCTTGCTGCTGCTCGTTGCTGCGCTCCTCGGGCGCCCCTCCACGCTCCACCACGTTCGCGAGATCACGACGCGTGACGAACGTGCCGGTGAGAAGGACGATCAGTATCACGGACAGGAGTCCGCTGATCGCCAACCTCTGCATCAGCCGCATCTCGTCCAGGCACTTGCTGCACTCCCACAAGCCGCCCGGAGTTGCAGATGTTTCGCTCGTATTGGCGGAGCTGTGCGTGGAACACGTTACATGTGGTGTGCGTGTGTGTGTGTATAGAGGATTTTGGGAAGGTCTTGGAATTTTTTTTTCTTTCTTTTCTTTTTTCTCGAAATTTTTTTCTCGAACTATACGTACGTACAGTGGTCGTTGGTTAGTAGTATATCGTTTATTATTATTCATTTTTTAGGGATTTACACGAGTCGATTGATACGATATGAAAGATTGAAAAGTGATGTTGGAATTGAAGGTAGGTATCCTCTTCGATTTGAGGATAGTTGGTTTATATTGGGATGAATAGAAAGTAGGATTGGGTGGAGTAGGATTTTTAGGTAGATACGTACAAGATATCGAGATTCTGGGCATGGTAGCAAACTTTGTTATGTATATATTAAGCCTATAAAGTTTATTTTAGATGAAGTTTATAGTTTTGGTTAAGTTGATTATCAATTTTATTATAATTAACGTTAAATTTCAAGGATTATGCAGATTCATTATAGGTAGATTAATGGTATAGGTAGTCGAATGCAAATTCTTTGGACCCCTTATCAACTGTGGAATATGTAAATCTACGGATACCCGCTTCCGTATAATTATTCACATAACAAAGTTTAAATCCTTAATTTTTTACAAGGAAAATTCGACAACTCGAAAGACAAGCTTGGAAATCTATTTGACTTTCCATCACTCGAATTCTCAAATTGCCAAATTTTCCTCTCATTACTTATATCTTCACTTCTCAAATCGACCATTGACCATAAAATCTACCAAGAAAAAAAAAAGAAAAGAAAAAAAAAGAATCGGCGATTAGAATCGAACGAGAGTGGCGTGAAATCAGGCGAGGGTGCGAACACACCGGAGGCACTTACTTGCGGGCCACCTGTTGTAGGTAATTCGAGCACCCCGACGAGTGCTCAATGGTCGTTTTAAGTAGCCTTCAACGACGGCGGCCGCGCGTTTTCAGCTCGCGTCCCTTTGCTTCGATCTCATCGACTCGGAATTCTCGTCAGCTGCGAAGAGAAATTCACTGTGTTCGGTGAACAGGCGCACACATACACCTAACCACGGAAATGTTCCTTTTCCTCGAATGCGTCGCCGTTTCTTCTGAGTTCGACTCGCTTTCATTCGTCCCTACGTCGTAAAACGCGATAAACCTTCTCCAGAAACGAAACGAGTTTCTTATTTATTTTATTTTATTTTTTCGATATCTATTTAAAAAGCCTGTGTGTCTCAGTTTGAAAGATTCGATCGAAATTTATTTATTCTTCTCAATTATTGAACAGGTAAACCAGTGGATGTTGCACGATATGATTTTCCGATATATATGATAAACATCCATGTACAAAAATATAAACGAGGTAAAATAGGAGAGAATGTAATATAATCTAAGTGATATGAATATAAAAATCCAATATAAAATATTGGAACGAGAGTTGAAATATCTGATTGTGCATGTACGCACGATTTAAGGGAAAGAATCTTTAAGAAACGTCTCTGGTTTTATTCTAATTTATTCCCGCGAAAATCGAGCGTGAAACGAAAGCGGCGGGGTAAATTCCGCGGGAAATTTGAATAGAGGAAATTATTCAAGTATCGGAAGACAATGGCAATTGTTAAGCGAGGCGAGAGAATAATTGCCCGCCCATCGATGAAACGCATTTACGTTCCGATATGCGTTAAACGCACTTCTCGTTATATGGATGGTCAATGACACTGTAATCTTGATTACCGTGCGTCGGTAATCGCGTTTGCAAATTAACAAATCAGGCCCGGTTATCAATTTAACTTTTAATCAAGGACAATAGCGCGCTTGTTATGCGCGTGTGTGTGTATGCTACGGTCCAACTCGCGCAACACAACCTTTGTTGCATTGATACGCGGTCTCGTCGTTTCACGCGGTCAGATTTCGGTTTCGACGAGGGAATGGAAAATAATTGGGGAGGGGAGGGAGAGCTTTTGTGAGATTCCCTTTGTGCTACCAAACGGCGCTACTTCGTTAAAAGTATCGGAATAATTTAAATTGTTGGTAAACTTTTCGTTCAATCCAAAAAAGTTCCATTTTTTTCCCCCTAAATATCCCTCATCCTGGAAACAAGTTTTTAACAATTAAAACGATTCGAATTCATCGAAATATTAATCGTTGTTTGTAACTTTTAAATTTTATAATTACGGAAGAAAAACTTCGATCCTGCATCCTCTGACTTTTTCTCGTTGTAAAAAATTTCAAACCGGAAGACGGGACGATTTCAAAATTACAAAACGATAAAATTTCAGAATATGATACACGTCTTCAATCTTCCAACGTTCGAGCAAATTCGATTTCGATCCGTGAAGAAGGATCTACAAAAGTCTACAAAACGCATCCACGGATCTCCACAACCGATCGATCGGTCGATCGATCCTCGCATAGGGTAGACTAATATAAGGCGCGATTCAAAGAGAAGGAAGAGCAAGCGCCGGATACAGCGGAGATTCCAAAGTCTTTGCCGAAACGTGATCACTGCATTTTTTATCGAGCCCCGGGCATCGCGGGATGTTTCTCTGGCCCTCCTCGCATCCAAAGTCCGCGCGCATTTTATCACCCGGTCGCTGCAGGCGTTACACCTGCAGATTCTCTTTCTCCTTTTTTTTTTTTTCTTTTTTTTTCTTGCGAACCATTTCTTCGAACGAGCGTGTTCCTCCGCCAGGATCCTCCACCTACCCACCAGGAAGACGAAATTTTTGGAAATTCGCCCTGGTGTGTCCAGATCCAAATGCGGGGATGAAAATTTAAATGGGGAGAAATCTTGTGTAAACTCTTTTTTTTTTGTGAAATGAATAAATATATAAACATTGATTATTACGAAACTTGGATTGTCAAATTGTTATTTTCGAAATTGAAGTTCGTAGATGTTGAAATAATAAGATTTAAATATATGTTGGAAGATTGATAATTTTTTTGTCGGAATTTTGCGCAACGAATTTGTATCTTTTTAATATTATTATTCGTTCAGATAAAATTATTATCAATTTTATGAGATCCTATCTAAATACACACAGATGTTTTAGATGTCCAAACGACGATTTCGTCTCAATGAAAGTTACGTATACGAATTGCATAACAGTAATACGAGAATTTATTCGTTATTTCCAACGATTCTAGAAATTGAAAAACTGATTTGCAAATCATCGAAGAGATTCACGAAATCGAAGCTATTTCTCATTTCATACGTATGAAAAAAAAAAAAAAAACATCGTAAAAAACACAACAGCCGAATAAAATAAAAATAAAATAATTTAAATTCACGGTGGAAATCGCAGCGTGAGATCGCGAACAGTCTCGAGGCGAGATTAGCACAGGAATTAAACCGACTTCTCCCCCTAAAAGTATCTCGAAATACCGCCACGGTAATTTACGCCTCGCAATTAACCCTTCAGGTTACAACTTTCTTACCCCCGGTCCGCCACTGAAATTTCTTTCATGCCGGATCAACGCCGGATTCCCCGCCCTTATTCAGATCCCAGAATTACACCTTAATCGCGGTGATACCTCGATTAAAGTAACGGACAGCGGCTGGAGAAATCTTCGTTCATCACCCCCCGGGGCAGCTTGCTCGAAAACAGAAGCAAGAACTGGCGGAAACGCAAATTATTGCATCCACCACTTTGATATATTATATCGCAACTTGGGATAATTAGGCCAATTGCCGCGTCCGATTAATCCGCGTATCGTGTTTTCTGTGTTTGCTGGGAATTCTCGAGTGCTTTTACAACTTTAGAATTTCTTTTCTTCCTTTCAACGAGCGTTGATTCTATCGTTTGGACGATAAATTGAAACGAATGAATTTTTTTTCGTGCTAAATTTCATCCCTCTCGAGAAACAATATTCTTCGACGAGGGAAACGAAGAACGTAACGTTTGAGAACAACGTTGGAAAATGGGAAATTATGAGATAGGGAGAAAAAGAGAAGAAAACGTAACGAAAACCTGACTGAAAAGTCAAATCTAAAGAGAGGAAAAAGGAAAGAAGAGTCGAGAGGAAAGAAAGGAACTGGGAGGAAGAAAATTAAAATAAGAAGGGGAAAAAACGAAGAGGAATGAAGGAGGAAATGAGGGAGGAATAAGAGAGAGAGAGAGAGCAGGGAAAGAAGATAAATCGTGGAAGGTACATTCAGTGGCCGATAAATCGTGGGGCTGGGCCCCGAGGTTACCAAGATTGCTACGTGTCACATTCTTGTGGAAAATTGGACCGGTGGAAGTGCTTTAAAGCCAGGCAAATTCGCGTCGCGAATGGACACGTACGTGGTGCACGTGCTCGACCACCCAGCAATTCTGAAAAAAATTCCCTGGAAAATACCATTTCCTCCTCCTTTTTAAATCCTCTATCACCCCCTGGAATCGTGTTATTTATTATCTCTCGCTCCCCTTTTTTCTTTTCTTCTTTTTAATTTATTATTATTATTATTATTTTCGTGGCGGAACGTTATTCACGATGCGACCATTTTTTTTATCGCTTGTTCTTAAACGATTATAAAAATATATACGTAGCGAAAATCAAACGACGTTTTATCCGCTTATCATTCACTCCAACATCGTTTATCCTGTTTTTAATTCTCCATGATTCTAATTAATCGATTACGTATTTATAATTATTGCACTCTTCTCTTCTCTTTTTATCCTTTTATTTAAAACGTGTTAAAATTAAAACTTGCAATTCGTACAATTATACTCTTCGTAGAAGCACTACCCATCAAATTTTATTCTCTTATTCGATATCCCGCTCGTCCATTCAACTCTATCACAAGATACTTAATCGGAGAGATAAGTCAGGCAGAGAAATATCTCCCTGGATATGTATTAAAAATATTAACAAGATCGTTTTTTCCCCCCCATGGAACGTTTAAAGATCGAAAATTCGTAACGGGATAAGAACTGTTTCAACTCCCGCGGGATTATCGGGGAACGAATCGCGAGCTACGAGTTAATGCCGTGTTCCACGCTCCCCCTTGGAAAATACAGTTAACTTAACGAGCTTGAATCAAGCAACGCGACCAAAAGAGAAGGAGCCAAGCTCTCTCTTTGATCGGTATCGAAGTAAGGAGTAATAACCCGCTTAAAATCGCAATTTGCAAGAGTTTGAAACGCCTTTGCGCGAAATAAGAAACTGGTCAAAGATGGTGAAGAGAAAAGGAGCTTTCTATATTTTTTTCTTTCTATTTTTTTCTTTTTCCCCTCCAATCGTTGTTCGGATAAAAGCAGGGGAATGTCGCGTGAAATGAAGTGTTAATCGTCGTGAATTAGCATCGAGATCGGGCGTGAAAATGGACGAAATGGTAATATATGCGGAAACACCGCCTTAAATACCTTTACAGTTTAATCAAGTTGGACTTGGAGTTGGACCCGCGGTGTAATTTATTCGAGAGGATGTTTAATTTAAGTCGAGGGCACGGTTTAACGCGGGGATCACGACGATGAAAGCGCGAGTTGCTTATAATTCCTCTTACGAACAAGTTATCTTCGTTGCAACGAAGATTTTTCACGGGTGAAACGATCGATTCCCCCCCTTTTTCTAAAGAAGGCAATGATCACCTTTCAATAAATAGAATAAAATTTCCTTACGTTTTCGAACCGTTTCCCGATCGATTCGGGATTAATCGTTCGATAGTTAGAAGAAATTCGATACTTCGATTATTCTTGTTCCATTTTTTCCTTTTAAGTTTACGTTGCATTATTTCTCTTTTATCTATAGAATTGCATCGAAGATAAAAATAAATTGAAAAGAATCGAATTCCCTTCTTAAATATCACATCGACTCTAAAGAATACTTTAATCGTGTCTCGCAAAGAAAGGAGGATTTATACATATCAAAATAAAAAATAATAAATACCGAGCTTCCTCTCGCCGAATCTCACAAAATCGGCCCCTTACTTTCCAACCAATCCAACCAATTTCGTCCACGGTACTTCCGATCGCGATCTACTTTACCATCGGCCGATGAAGAAGCCCCTCCCCCCGTTCCTAGAAACTCGAG